TGACAAGCCAGCTTTTACGTAAGTTTACCTAGAATATTTACATGGATGTAGGGGGAATAATTCAGAAGCGTGAATAATGCTGGGCATGGCTAGGTGTTTTTTTGTCAATACTTATCAGTTTTCAGTTAGGCGCACGAGGGCACGATTAGTTGCGTGCTCCGCGTGAATAGGTAGTTGGCCTGCTGCACGAATTCGTTCGTGGGATGGCACGGGCACAATGTAGTTTGTTGTGAGCTTTGTGGCACAATTTAGGATCACTGAATAAAAGGGAAAGAAGAACAAAAAAGCAGCAGAACTTTTGCACAAATTCCTCTGTTTCGTTTTTCTTCAGGGAGTGTTTCAGAGATACATATATATATAGAGAGAGAGAGAGGGACAGAGCTGCTCCGGTGAGCCGGTCCGGCAACAGTTCTCTGTAATTTGGAGATCCCTCCAAAATATGCCGTCTCAATATCAAATATCAATTGTAAATTCAGTGGTTAGCATTCTTTTATTTGTATGATGGTCTATTTTATTTTTCACTCTGTTTACGATCTAACACGAATAATAGCAAACGGTGGATCTTCAGATAGCCTGATGCTAACAACAAGCTTAGAAGATCTCAAGACCTTTTGGTGTTTACCCCGAACTTGGCAGTGAAGCTCCAACCACAGCCTCTTTGCCATGCTCAAAACTTAGTTTCGGGTCAGTTTGCCAGAGCAGCCAGAAAGCAAAACCATCAGGAAACAGAGGAGCATCAGCACACCATTATACCACAACAGGGTCTGCGAAGAGGAGCTTAAGCATAGTTCAAGATACTGGTGGTACAACATGCCTCAGTTACCGTCTGTTGACACCAGGCTAATTTAACCGGATAGCTTTGGCCATCTTTGGTATCTTGTCCAAGGAGTTCTCTACTAGTTACAAATGGCACGACAGCTGATTGCCTAGTCTAAAATTGACGGAAAATCTACTCGCTGACTAGGGTTTTTGCCCTGTATTTCCTCTTGAACACATATTGCCGGAACTGCTTGGTCTCAGCCATCAGGTCCAGGGTCGGTTTTTGCTGGATGGTCGCCTTCTCAGTCTCCAGCATCCTCTTCCGCTTAGCAAGCGCCTCGATTGCATCTTGATTCTCCTTTTCATCCTGCATGTGATCCTCCTGCTTCACGCCGTCTCTTTCTGTTTCGTCGTCAATCACAAACTGTACAAGTGGCAAAGTATGTGTTGTGTTGGTGTCAGCAGGTCAGCACTACATCACACCGCTGCAGACTACATCTAATATTGCCTGATTAAGACAAGAGGAACAGAGGGTGCTGCTGTAAGATTTACCTCAAGATCATGAATCAGCGAATCAAGGGACTTGAGTTTGCGGTGAGGCCAGCGAGGTATCCCATGTTGCCGGCATTTCTTCTTCAGAATGCTGAGTCCAATCTTCAGAGTCCTGGATGCTTCTCTGATTGGAAGATGGAAGTACTGAGCTATGTCTTCTAGAGTAATGCTAGCAATATACGCCCGGTGGGCTCGCCTCTGCTTCTCAGCTGGTGCTAGAAGGTCTGCATCGGTCAGGTTGAGATCACAGTCAGCATACTGAAAAAAAAAGATAAGCAATAGTAAAATTCGGACATGAAACCGCACAAACAAGATATAACTTCAGAAGGTACAGTACTTTTAAAATTATTCAAACTACTTAAGTTCCTAGCAGGGAAGTACGAAGTAAGCAACGGAGTACAAGTAGGCGAGAAGTTCCATAAAAAGGAACAGTAAGTTTCTTGGGTTACTGGAGAGTATTTTCACACCATTGTGCCCTTTTTAATTAGATAGAATAATTAAAAAGTCACGAGCAAGAATTACAAGTCGATGAGTCAAGCAAGGTTGAGACTCATAGACCAACCGTGACTTATTCTAGACTACTGCCAGACTAGTCGCCATGGTACTGTAGTATTCAAACGACAGTACTCGGTTACTAAATACATAAGTACATAGTATAGGGAGCAGTATATAGGAAAATACACAGGAGCTCCTGGGTGCTCCACCCCCCTATATGAATATTAAATTCAAAAAATATCAGGAAAATTCAAAAAAACCCTAGAATTTGGGGATACCAAACCTGGGTGCCCAATCTACTCCCCTGTGAAGTTTCGTGAAAAATACCAGAAAACGTATCCGTGGCGAAGAAAATACAGTCTGACCTACGATCCATCCAAACAGTTTTTTCCTATACATAGGATTATTTTGTCTTTTTTACTGAGAATACATTTCCTCGTATTTTTTCACCAAACTTCACACGGGAGTAGATTGGGCACCCAGGTTTGATATCCCAAATTTTCAGATTTTTTTGAATTTTTCTGGTTCGCTTTTTGAATTTAATACTCATATAGGGGGTTGGAGCACCTGAGTGCTACATATACTACTATATAGTACCGTACAATATACAATAAAAATTTGATGCATGAGAAGTGAATGAAGAACCTGAGGCTGGCCCAATTGTAATATCCAATGGCCAGGGCCACAGGGGAGAAATCAAACCCAAGAAGGGAAGGAGAGAAGGGAGAAATTACTTGCTACAACAGCAGAGGGGTCCTTGTTTGCCATCGCCTTCGGATCCAGGAGGAGCACAGCAGCAGAGGGGCGGATCCAGGGGAGGAGCACAAAAGCAGAGGAGGACAGCAAGGGAGGAGTACAACAGCAGAGGGGCGGATCCAGGGGAGGAGCACAAAAGCAGAGGAGGACAGCAAGGGAGGAGTACAACAGCAGAGGGGCGGATCCAGCGGAGGAAGAGGAGCGGAATGCTCCTGGCCACCGCCGCCGGCGGCGGCGGGGGGTCGGTGGGTGGCGGCGGCGGCCTTATCCCAGGTGAGGCGGGCAGGCGGCTCGTTGTGGGGTAGATTGAAAAGCTAGGGTTGCCATTTTCCCCTTCCACGGGCTTCTTACTTATCCATCAAATTGAGTCGATCGACTCAAACACGCCGACTAGTCTGGACTAGCCCACGACTAGTCGGTCCACCCCTCGACTCACAGAGCTAGTCTACACAAAGAACCTAGTCGACAATCAAATTGAAACTACTAAACTAGTCGCGTGACTAGTCAAGACTAGTTGTTAGACTCATAGAGTCAAATTTTATAGCTCAAATGTGATTCCAACTTCAACATAACATGAACAATTGCCACAAACAACTAATCGCACAAACAAAAAGTTGCACATTTTTTTGCTCAATGCAAACCTTTTGTTTTTTTTCCGAGAAAACAAAGGACTTACGCCTCGATGCATCTATAGAAAGAAAACAAAGGGCTTATGCCTCGATGCATTTATAGAAATAAAAAGAAAACCAACAGGGCCTAGCCACTGTGGCTTTTTAGATGGAATGGCCAAGACACTCACGCTGCCGCACACAGGGCCCAAACGTGGCTGGCGGGCTGGGCGCACACCACTAGCCAACTGGTTGACGCCCACTTCCTGAATTTATAGATACAAGATTTGTACATGCCTCAGGGAGGCAATTACAACCAACCCACACAACCCACAGAAACTTAAGGAGGCTCATGTGGAAACAGGGTAAGCCCAGTTGGACAAGCCATTGACCAAAGAAGCGCCTCGGCCTTGTCAATCACGTGCGACTTAACCCAAACCTTCACTTCACTTGTAACTTCCTAATCAGTAACCAGAAGGATACTTGCACTAAATTGCAAAAATGTATCTGTGATTTGAGACTTCTGCAAACAAGTGGGGTTTCAAAGTCAACGCAGAATATTATACGAGGTTTGAAATTGTTAAGTCCACCATATACCGAAGCACCTTTTCCCATGTTTGTTGGCATATGAGAGAGAGAAGACTTACTATCACAGCATAATCTATTATCTGTTGGGGATTGGGTTAAAATATCCCACTGTAGACTATTTTCGCTCTTTATTTTTCCAAAATAACGAAGATAAGGCTCCAAATCAGTTGTGAGAAGTTTGAACTAGATGTTCTCACTTAGATAAACTTAGTTTCCCTGGAGGTTACAGATGGCACAACGAATATGTATATGTATATGACAACGGAAGTACAATCAGTGTTTAAAAACCCATATAAATATTCTTAATGGTACATTGTATACAATGGACTTACTAAACATAGCTACAACCATCTTACTAAATTTATATGCCCTACTTCATTGTTTTGCTATTGGTCTATCAACCTGTTTACCTTTTCATTTTCTCAGAACAAGTTGTCTATCCACATAATATTAACTGGTGTGGTGTCCCTTGTATTGTGCGGTTGATCCATGTACGGTTCACATGTCTTTCTCTTCCTCCTTCATGTGACTGTATTTGACATCCAAACATTCCAAATAAGCTAATTGTATTGAAACACATTTTGAGAAAACTTGATTGAAGTTTTTTATGATTCTGACATTACTATACTATTTCTTAGGTTATCAAAATTTATTACTCAAATGCTCTTTAGTTATTAAGGATTTCTTTAACTAAGAGAACACACATTTACCAAGCTCCCATTTTATCTGATTTTGTTGTACTATAAGCCAGCTCCAACTGGATGCTACCAATGAAGGGGACCCTTCACGTGGCTCGTATTGATCTTGTCATGAGTCATTCGTTTATTTCTATGATTTAGCTCGCAATATAGTGACCCTCTGCCTTCATTTCCTTCCTTTTGGAAATTTTATTGACGTCTCCCAATTTATCTCCCTCTTCATTTACAAGCACCGGAAGCCCTTCTTACTCTAGTTCTCCGATCGGTTTGCTGAGCTCTGCGATTGGATAATTTTATTCTCTTAGTTGGTTTACTTGTTCCATGATGATTTCCTATTCCAATTCAATCAGGACTCTTATTTTTGGGCGGTAACCAAAGCTGTTCAATCATGGCTTGTCAAGTTTCTATAATCCTCAGACAATCTTCTCTGATTGATAAATCTAAGGCGTTGTTCCACTATCGTTATATAAGAACATACTAATAGATAGATTAATCAGGAGATAGCCCAATGTATTGCTTTTTCAGGGAAGGGGTAGCTATCTAGTCCGCCCATTGTCATGCTAGGAGGATAGGATGCATGGGTCTTAAACAAAAATCATATGCCATATTCCTGAGTCCTGACTCTGCTCTACCAGTCTGACTCATTCGCTAAATAAAGATCTTCATCTCAATTTGGCATTGCCCAAACCCCTAAACCCCTGGTGGAACATCCACTTCACACTAACGGCAGCGTTAATTAAAAACACTTGCACAAGTACCAGATTCTGGTTTACATTTGATAGATTTCGAAACCACAGTGGAAGAGACGCAGTCACCTTCACCAAATTGGGGTCGCTCATCGGTATCAGACCCTGCCTCTTGCTTAACAGAAACTCTGTCCTTTGCATCCGAACTGGTCAACTTCTCATCTGAATCGCATTGAACGAGCCCTGGAACCTTTTCTTCTACTTTCTGAAACTGGAACACCTTTGTCAGGTCGTTGTACAGGGAAGGCACACACATGAGCCTCGGGTTCCTGAAAAGGAAAATAAACGAAGCTTTCGGCACTCAGTGGCAATGGCACATTAGGCTGGGGGAAGAAGCAAAAAACTTGTGGATGTCGAGGAATCGGCGCCGCATTGAGCTGCGCGTGATCGTACCTTAAGGGGCAGAGCACGGGCGGCGGCACGGGCGGCGGGGCGACGGCGGCGACGAAATCGAATGCCAGGATGCAGCGCCAGGGCCCGGCAATCTGGCCCTCGCGGTAGACGGGGCGGCCGCGCCAATCCGCCGGGAGCAGGCGCTGCGCGTCGGCGGCGAGCGGGACCTCGCGGGCCGAGGTGGGGGTGAAGGCGAACTCCCGCTCCACCCACCTCTCCCAGCCGCAGCCCCCTCCCTTGCCGGCGACCCTGTAGCCGTGCGCGCTCCTCACGGCACCTGCATGGGCAGAGGAATGTCACACACACACACTCACAAACGTCGCGCGCCGCCACAGCCCACAAGGAGGCGGAGGAGAAGAGGTGAAAAAAAAAAACGATTAAGAGATGGAGTGGGGCGTGGGCCGACCGCGGTCAACGGTGCTGACGAAGACGGCGAGCGCGGAGAGGGTGGAGACG